AAATAGGTGAAAGAAAAGATTGCAGGCTGGTATTGAAAGGATGACTGTTGGGTGGAGAGACAGAACTGATGGGGTTACCTGGGTCTTTGCTAGTAAGGCCGAGACAAAAATTAGAATCATGGTAGTCAAATTTGTTGGATGCAAAGAGAGGTGGGTTTTTCATCTTAGGGAAGGACTTCATACAGGAAGACCTGAATGATCTTCAGGATGGATAATTCTTAACAGCACAAGGTTATGTTAACCAGGGTAATAAGTAAAAGAGGTCAGGGAGTGTTCTCTTGGCCTGGAAACCAAGGGCTTGGGCACAGTCAAACTCTTGCACCCACTAGAGCAGGGTGGCCATGTGCAACCTGGGACTGTCCCTGGCTTGTGCTCTCTCTGAGTGGCACCTGAGGAGTGCTCACAGCTTAGAGTAAATCCCAGTCAGATGGTGGGTGAGCAGGGAAGCCACATGGACCACTGCTCAATGGTTCAAGCCTCTGTCCAGCTGTTCCATTCACTGCCATAGGGTAATCTGGGACTGGTAGTTATTTATGTTGGGAATTTGTCATCCTGGAGTTTGTCTGTTGAAAACAGAGGTGGGAGTCTGCTGGTCCATCATCACAGCATGACTCTGAGCCATTAACATGGGTAGCTGGGAGAAAGGAAGAAGAGATTAGGAAGAGGGAAAGATTCCATCATCCAGGTGAAATGACGGGCAGCTTTCAGTGTTATTTCTTGCAGTGAAATCTTCCAGAGCTGCTCAATGTGTCACAAGTGCCACACCTGAAGTGCTTCACGTTTTGTTCAAAAGATTGAATGTTATGTCTGCCAGATGCCAAGCACTGTAAGACATTTATTTTCAACAATGGACACTTTTGAATGTATTTTAGAAACCTGCCCATGATCATTTAGTGTGTACAACAGAGCAAAGTCTCTCCCTGGTCCCCAGCTGTGGATCCTTTTGTGCTCCAAAGCATGAAAACTGGTTCTTAGAGCATTTTAGGAGATATTTACTCAGTGCTGTGTAAGGTAACTGGTTTAGCCTTGGACAGCACATCTGATGTAGCTGCTCAGTTGCTTCACCTCCCCAGGGAGCACAGTGCTGTAGGCTGAGGGTAGGGCTACACTGGTGCTACTGACAGGCTGCTGATTAAGCCCCATTCCAGCTGCACTGTTCTCTGCAGACATAAGATCAGGAGCTGACATTTCTCTCCAACATAAGTTTTAAGGTTTAAGGAGCCCAAAGCTGGTCATGGAGCTCCAAGATCCCATATATGTTCTGCACAAAGCCAGGTAATATTTTGTTGCTGGTTGGTTGTTTTGTTGTTGGTTTTTTTTTAATTAGGTGACCAGTCGTAGTACTTAGAGGAATTTTTCAATTTGTTTGATTGGACCTTATTTGTTTATTGATTTGTGTTGTACTTGCATTGTGGGTTTGGATTCCTTATCTCCAACAGACCAATCTGTTCAGGATCAAATGAGTCGTTTTGCCATGTGCATTTATATTGGTTTTTAGGTGCATTTCATATTTCTGCCCAATCTCACTTTACTGCTTCTCCTGGATGAACACAAAATGATTCACAATGTGAGAAACCAGGGGTGTAATACTTTTATTTTGCTGCTACAGCTCAGCTGGGGGCATAGTTATCTTTCCAAAGCACTTGTGGGAGTTTTCTGCCCACCTGCTTGTCATAGCTTCAGGAAACGAGTCCAAAAACCATGAAGAACAGGCTGATGATCCATCTAGCTGCGTAACGTGCCTCTGGCATCACTGCCATTTGTCACACTCTGTCTGCATGGGATGGCGGGGTCTATTCTACAGCAGAGATTCTTCTGCATTCACAGCTGAAGCATGAAAATGAACCTTGCCTTGTGACTTTCTGATACACTGTGATAACTGTTGTTGCTGCTGATTTCACTCATGGAAGTGCCTTTTAAAACTCACAATCCATTAGCCACAAATGATATTCTGAGAAAGCAATCCTGTTGTAATTCCCGGAGCAAAATCACAGGTATTTATCCACTGTGATGGTGGGTGTAACCTGCGTGTAATTAACATGTGCAGCAGCTGGGGAAGAATTCAATGTGGTAATTTCCTTTAATTTAGTAGCATGCACATGTGTATTTAGCAACGTGCCCCTGGTGCTCTGACAATTAGTTAATTCATCTGCTTGGCACGATGGAGAGAAGGCAACTGGCTGTGATTGCGGCAAATAAATAAAAGCATCCCACTGCTTCAGCTCGGAATCAGAGAACAATTTGCTTTTGTGTCTGACTTGTGCATACAAGGGAATACTGACGTTTTTGACAAATTGTTGCTTGACATTTTACATCTCTAGAATTGCTGTAGTGTGTAAGGACACCACGCTCTTTTTAAAGTGTCTCCTATCAGTGTGTCATTTTAACCAAACAAGCATGCAGAAAAGATAACATGAAATATTAAGGGTAGCACCAGGATGGCGTCCTCCTCTTGGCTTTATGAATGTCGTGGCTTGTCACTTTAGGAAAAGTTGCAATGAATTTACCATCCTGGAAACAGTCCTAAACTACAGCAGCAGTGGCAGATTTGTATTATGGTTAAAATAAGCTTGAAAATGTTCTTACTCCCCACTTCCAGGCAGTAGATTTGGCAGCAGACCTGTTTAAATTGCAATGCAAAGGGAGGTGCCGTCGAGCTACTTGGTTGTTTCCTGGACTGTGTAGTTGTGAAGAGAACAAAGTATAAGTAGTCTCAGATGATTTACAGATTATATTTTAGTAAAGTTAATGAGCTTTTATGAAAAAGCTGTCACTTTGGGACTATTTTACACATGACAAAAGTGCAGTTTGTTTATTAATTTCCTATAGTGTGGTTATTATTCCAGGTCTCAGTTGAGGGACTGTGCCCTGTTATTCTTGATAAATACTCACCAGGAGACAGTCTGTGTGCTGGAGGACTTAGAGTAGGAGTAGAGGAGATACAGTCCTCATGGCAGAAGGGATGTGTAATGTGAAATGAGTTCTCAAGATTGCACATAGAATCTGTTACAGAGCTTGGAGGCAATCCTGAGGCTCAGGGCACTGCATGAAGTATGAAACACTACTTTTTTTTCTCTTATGGAAACTGTCCAGAGCCTGTTGTTGCTTTTGGTGCCTATTGCTTCAGTTAAAATTGATTTATCTTTTTCCAAAAGTGTCCCCTTGAGGGCAACTGCTCCCCTAAATCATCTGCAATAGATGGGTTTATTTTTCAGATATTTTTGTCCACACTGTCAAAATAAGTGTGCAGGTATAAAAAGTTGTTCTGTCTCCTGTCAGACATCTCTGTGCTGTGCAGAGGAGCACAGAGCAGAATTTATCATCCAACCAGGGCTGTGCTGGTACATCTCTGTGCCCCTCCTAGTGACCCACACTTTTTGTGTCCATCTCCCAGACCAAGTGCCACTTGCCTTTTAGGTTAAAACCTTCCCAAAAGAGAGTTCACACTCTGTACAGGACCTTCTGCAGTTCCCATGCAGCAGGACCCCCTCCAGCTCTGTCCCATCCAAAGTGGAAAGAGGAGCTGGTCCAAAATGCACAGGCAGGAGACAGAAAGGACTCCAAGAAGTGGGATCCTGGGTTGGGGAGGGAGCAGCTTTTTGGCCATTGTGCTGCTCATAACATATTTCTACAAGTGTTTTGGAGCTGTGGCTAAATGTTATTTTGGAAAGGGAGTTAATTGCATGTGTTTCAAACTTGGCTGACTATTTTTAGCTGGATTCACACACACAAGCCCTTCACTGATCCAGAGGAGGGCACACATGCCTATGAGGCTTTCTCTCATCTAAGTCATCCTAATAAAAGATGCTGTTTTTCCCTACAATGACTCCCATGGCAACAACACTGATACCTAACTAGACTTACACACATCAGGAGGCATCTTCACGTGTAGAAGTTGCTGTGTGCTCCATCCCTCCTGGTCTATGTTGAGTAATTGGGAAGAGAGGAGCAGGAGTGCAAAGAGCTCGAAGCTCAATGGCACACGGTGCCTCTGGGTACATCCACCATGTCCTTCACTCACACATTCCCTGGAGACCTGAAACCCATGTCTGCCTTTTGCCTAGAACAGAGCCCTTCATTCATGAGAAGTGCCCCCAGCTAAAATAGCAGCCTTATACCCACAGAAGTACTTTGTGCATCCAGAAGGAAATAAACTCTACATACAGCCCAGGCACAGGCAAATCCCACAGGGGTTGTGGTTCAGCTTCTGTTAATTGTGTGTGGGAGAATTTAATCTTTGCTCCTTTTTTTTTTGTTGTTTATTTTTCTGGATTCTCTTTTCCCCCTCACGGGGCGAGCCTGCACAGTGCAGGGCTGTGTTGTACACAGGAGCTGGAAAGTCAGCACAGGTCCCAAAAGGGATACAGCTGTTAGAAAGGTCATATCCCAGCTCAGGTAATTAACAGGAACGTCATCACTCTAAAATGGTCACTCTATTTTTGGGATTGGAGTTGCAGTCCCACAGTTGTGGCTGTGGCAGACGTCAGGGGGACCTGTCAGGCATTCGGGGACTTGTGTGCTGTGCTGAGTCACATCACGTGATGGAGGTTTAAATACTGTACTGTAGGTGGGTGCTTAAACTCGTGAGGAAGACTTTGGGGCACCACGTTCCCTTAACTGCAGTCATTCATTGCCTTAAATAAATTCATTACCAGTTACCTTTCGGTTGCCTGAGGAAGGAAGAGGGATGTGTGGCAAATAAAAGAAGTGAAGAAAGTCCTGTATTATATGTGTGATGATAATAAAATGTTTGCACACACATTGAAGTTTTTTTGTGAGACTCAGGGTGTCTTTAAGAGCAAGGGGCAACAAGAGGTGCCACACACACACCCCTGCATGTTGGTGGAGGCAGGCACTAGGGAGGGTGAGTCTGGATAATCCACCACCCCAGCAAACAGGAGTTGGCTCTGTTGGGACAAGTTCAGAGATCCTGATGGCCTGAGCTGAACTGAATTAATGTTGATTTTTCTTTTTTTTCTTCCTTTTTCTCTACTCCTCAGGTGGAAGAAAACTACTCTGCCGGCAGCCCTTCAAAAGGCCTTTTCTCAAAAGGGCTCCAGAACCGACCTTCCAGCCCCGTTTCCGCCCCTGTGAGATCCAAACATAGCCCCGGCTCACCCAAAACTGTGTTCCCCTTCCCCTACCAGGAGTCTCCCCCACGCTCCCCACGCCGAATGAGCTTCAGTGGGATCTTCAGGTCCTCCTCCAAAGAGTCCTCCCCCAGTTCTAACCCGTCTACCTCTCCTGGGGGCATCAAGTTTTTCTCCAGATCAAGAAAAAGTAAGAAATTGCTCATGTTATTTCAGGAAGATACCTCTGGGCTTGGCCCATTCTTTACCTGCGGTAGTGAAGTAAGTGCAGATGAGGCATGTGCTAATTGTTCGTTATCGCTTTCACTGACCATGTGTTGTGGGTTTCTGACGTGCTGGTCATTAGGTGTGACCTCTGCAGGGCCAGGGACACCTCACGGACACCCACGCAGGGCTGAGGAGGGAAATCACACTGCTAAGCTTTGCCTAGAAATGCTATGTCCATGTTAGTGGGAGTTTTTTGGGTGGTTTCACTGAGGCTGGTTGGACTTCAGTGCTGGGGCTCAAGAACGGCTGGAGACACTCCTGGGGTGTGTGGTGGAGGTGGGCACTGAAATGACATCCCTCAGGAGTGGAAGGAGACTCACTTCTGTAGAAGCAAGATCCTGTAGAGAATTTCAGCTGTTTTTTTTTAACTGATGTTTCTTTGCCCTACCTATTGTGGGAAGGGAAAGGGACCTTTACTGGATGAAAGTAAATGATACGTGTTTCCAATCAAATGACCATTAAAGGGGGTGTTTGAGCTCCTCTTCCAGAATGTGAAAGGCATTGGAAACCTCCATGGTTCAGAGCACTTGCCTGCTTTATATTGGGCACAAATTTTACGTCTTCAGCATCCTGTGAGCTGATAACACACCGTCAGAACTCAGAAATGAGCAGGATTGAGAACATGCTTTGATTTTAAAACTTTCTTACTGGATAAAGTTTCCCAGTGCTGGTCGACAGACCAAACCTGGTCTGCCCAAGGGGTTAGTGGCTGTGGGAAGGGAGCAGAGTTACAGGGGAAACAGGAATAATGTCTTGGTACAGAGGGTGCTGGATTGTGAGACCACAGTGAGTCTGTGAAGAGAAGAAATAATGAAAAATTGTTGGCAAATCCTTCTGACAATGTAGGTACAGAATTGGTGATGCATATACCTGTGTTGGGCTGTATGTTTCCTGCAATGTGTTGATAACTTTCAGTTACTTTTAAATAGCGGAGAGGGACCTCTTTGGTTTTTTTCATCAGGTTTTTTCTTAAAAACACAGAGTTTAATCAGAAAAAGGAATTTCACAGTGATTTTTGTGTAATAAGAACACAGCAAAACAAACACATATAGGATTTTTCTTCACATTTATCAAAAGTTCTGCTGCAACCTTATTGAAATGACATCTTTTCCAGCCCTTGCCTCTATCTAAAACACTTTCAGGAGATTGAAAGTAAGAGTCTTCCTGAAGGGCTCAGAGTTGGCTCCAAACATTGTTTCTCCTCAAGGACATTTGTTCTTCCCTTCTTGAAGTTGAAGTATGCTTTGTACGCTCCCCAATTCTTCAGACCTCACCATAACTGAAATCCATCTAAACTCTTTTTGCCAGTCCACTTAGGTTTAAATATCACATTTAAATATTGGCAATATAATGCTGATGGAGAACATAGAGAAGGGCTCACTGCTGCACAAACAGCAGCAATACAGACTGCAGAGCAAAGCCATCCTGGGACTTTGCAATCAAGTTGCCCGAGCAGCCAGCACTATTTAAGTCCTAGTTAGGTACAACAGAATATTAAATAAAGGAATCTCCCAGGAGTCAGCAAAATCCTTTTGATAAGGTCACATCACTGCTGCAGGAGCAGGCTTGGAGTGTAGCCATGCTATATTTGAGCTAACAGAAAATACCCATGACCCTGCTGCTCCAGAGAGAGTTGCAGGAATTGCACTGGGCTCGGGTGTTCGTGGTCTTTTGTTCCTGAGGCAGGAGGGACAGCCTCTTGGAAAGAGAGTGATGATTACAGTGATTACAATTGGTGTTTAAATTGATAACACTTTCTGCAGATTTTTGCAAAACAAAATGTTTCTGGCCATGTGCTTTCACATCATTTAGCTCTCTTATGGAGAGACTAATGCAGATACACACCCTTTACTACCAGAGTAAAGTAGATTTTATTCAGAATGTGCTAAACAGGGGTTGGTAGTGAGTTATACTCTTAGAGTTTATTACATTTAATTAACTTTTATCGAATTTTATTTAACAAAACCTTTTCAGGACTTCAGGAAAAGTATGGGTTAGCGTTTCTGCTGTGTTATGTAGTTTCTCATAAGCAATACTTCTGCCTTCTGTTACTTCACAAATAAAAAGTAACCCTATGCACTACAGAGCAGTAAGTTAATTGGTTACCTGTCACTCAAAACAAAGTCTCTGTGGCTTGAACAGCATTTCCTGAGAGGCAAGACTTCTCAGACACTCCTCAGACCAAATACCTCAGACGTTTGCAAAGGTGCTGTGCTGAAGACCTCTGAGAAGAGCTAAACTATCATGTGGCTCCACGTTTCTGAAGGTGCTCAAATGCTTCACTGCTCAAAATTGTCACAGCCTACATGATTAAAATGCCAATTTCTCGAGCAGCCTGGGATAGCTGTTTTAAAAGTGGATGGGACTTAGGTTGCTTTATCAGTTCTGAAACTGTGAGTGTACTGATATCACCTGGACTTGTCATGCTTGCCTGCCTTCACAGCCCCGCTGGTGCTGGGTCAGTAATATTAAAATTAAAAATAACTGTGTGCTGGACTGCATTAGGAGGAGGATCACCAGCAGGTCAAGGGAAGTCATCCTCCTCCTCTGCTCAGCACCAGTGAGACACATCAGCAGTGCTGGGTCCAGTTCAGGGCTTCCCAGTACAAGAGAGAGGGGGACATGCTGGTCCAGCAAAGGGTCACTGTGTTGCTCAGGAGCTGTGCTCGTGGTGTAGGGGGGAGAAGAATTAAGAGGAGGTGAAGACCTTTTTGCTGCCTTCACTTACCTAATGGGGTTATGGAGAAGACAGTGCCAGGCTTTTCAGGGATGCCCAGAGAAAGTGCAGGAGTCAGCAAGGGAAACCCCAGACACATGTAAGAAAGATGCTCTTGCAGGGGGTGGTATGGCAGCAGGGGTCCAGAGGGGCTGTGAAATTGCTGCCCTTGCAGATTTTAGGAAGTCAACTGGACAAGACTCTGAGCACCCCAATTTAAAGTTGCTTTGAGCAGGGATCAGACCAGAGACCTGCAGACACCCCCCCCCAGCCGTGGATCTTCTGGGAAACTCTGCACTGGAGCCTTCCCTTTGGGTTTATAGCAGATCTGTATTTTATCCAGGCAATCTGCAATTAAACAAAAAAGCACCAGATGAAAGTTCACAGGGACTTGGGGTTTCTTTTTGTCCCCCACTTTACCTGAAATGAGTCTGTGCTGCACTCCTTTCCCTGTTATCATGGAGCAGTATATGGGGGAAAGTAGATGTAGTCTTTGTTTTAAATAACATACCCTGTCTTCCCTCCACTTCCTCCTCCCACACATTGTTCAAAACACAGACTAACCTGTTACTCCACATATTCCTTGTTTTCCTTGGAAGCAGCTTCTTCCTAGCTTGTTTTCATTTTAAAGACTATGTGTGGTATTCACAGCGTTTTCTTTCCCATGTAGTTGCTCTTTTCCCAGCTAAGTTGTTTTTCCTTTTGAATATATGCAGTTTAGGAAGGGTTAGGGTAGGACAATATTAAAACAGAAAGTGATTTGCAGACATGAAACCTAAAATATTTTCCACTTCAGGCTGGGAGTTTAAAGCTTTTGCTAATCTTCAGTATTGTATCACTGGTTTTGGCAGTAGCCAAAAGCTGAGCTTTGTACCTTTTCACTTTGGTTACCCCAGTTCAGCATCCGGTCATAACCTTACAGCTCTGATCTGACAAAAGATTTGCCTTGAAAGGAAAAATACCTTCCCACAACATGTACTTGGCTGCCAGACACTTCAGGTATTTTGTAAGTACAGCTTTGAAACAGTAAACTGATGGCTGGGGCTTCACGTCCAGCATCCCTGCTTTGTAAAGGCAACAAATTCACCTCAGGCCCCTCTGGAAGAGGCTCTGCAGGGACCTTTATGGGTGAGGTGTGTGCTTGGTCAGTGGTGCAGCCCCTTCATTTTGGGAAGTTCCCTGCAGAAAAATCCGAGACATCTCTTTGCCTGCTGGGTTTTTGTGCAGGTGCTCTGAAGTTTAATTCTTGTCTTTTTTATTTCTTTTTTTTCCTCTGAGAATTTCTTGGCAACAGCACTTGTTAGACCGACACTTGAAAGCTGAGTGAGGATTGGGGGTGAACTAAGCCTGACTTTGAGGTGGTGCAGAGGACTTGATAATGCTGTTCCCCCACACTGTAACTCTTGTTAGGTTCAGTCCCCTCCAGCACTGCCCACCTTACACCTCCCAGAGCCTTCTGCAAGCAGAGACTTGGCTCTGTGAGATGTACAGCTCAGTGCCTGGGGTTTACCCATCAGTGTGGGCACGTGAGCAGCCATGGAACATTAAAAGAATAACATTTTAATTGGATATGAAAAAAAATTAGTAAATTAGTGTGACCTGTAGCTAGCAGGAGGCTTCTACAGACCTGACACTGATTTCACAGGTGTTTTACAGGGACAAGGGGAACAAAGGGTGAGTGAAGATGTGCAAGCTGAAGTCTTTGAAAAGCGATTTCGAAATTGGCTTTGTGGAACTGCTTCCCAGTTTGCCTTAGGTTGGCTCAAAACTGCATGAACTACTCTCATGAAGCAGAACTTGGGACCTCTTGAGGTGTTATTGGGTCTTGGCTGTGCTGGGAGTGCATTTCCCTGGTGTGTCAGTTTGCATGAGCAGGTAGAAAGCCAAGAGAAAGAAGTGACACATCTCAGTAAAGCAAACTGAGGTGATCCAAAGTAAACACGGGAGGATGACCTGCACTGGGAAGAAACACATTTCAGATTACAATTTTCTTGCATGAGCTCTCCCTCACAGCCAATACATGTACAAATGAATGAGAGCAACTTTATTGCACTGAGTGGAAATTAGGGGGCTACCCCTTGAATATTTTATTAGAAGTAGATGGTTTTATGATATTTAAGTAATTAAAGTGTATCTTTTTCCATGGGTCTGAATGCCCCATTTGAAGGACATCAGGTCATTTTCCAGTCCTGCTTCCCCTTCCGAAA